GCTCTTGGCTTCTGGCTCTCATACAGAATTAGAGCAAGAAGCAGAACATGAGAGACCTACTATGTCCAAAAAGGAACTGGTCAGGATCCAAGAGTCTCCTAAGGATGGGATCTACAAAAAGCTGAGCAATTGATTCCATCCATCCACTGATCCATCTCTCTGCCTATCTGGCTGGCTCTCTATTTTTACATGTATAAGGGGCATCGGGCTGCTGAGAATTAAATTTGTCTGCCTGTTGGACAGAGTTTAATTTTCTTGCCGTCCACACCGCCGTCCCTGGGGTTGTATTGGATTCCTCTCCTCTATCCTACTCTGCGGATCATAATGATCCCTATCACTTTGTACTGGAATTGTTAGTAGCTATCTGTGTCCCTACAGACCTTAATTCTTAAAGGCAGACTCTTGCTCTCTCCCCGCACCTTTGTAACCTGGAAGGTCACAAGGAGTAGCTGCCAAGGGATGCCCCACTGCTAAAGCGGAGAGACCTGAGAACACAGGCAACTGTGAGGATGCGAAACGGGAGATGGAAAAGAATAAGGACTTCAGGAGGGCAGGCTCAGTCCGATGCACTTGTTTTTTGATCAACGTAAAGATGACTTCCAGAAAAATCGTACCATCACCTTAACCATCTAGTTTTGTTTCAAATTTTAAGAAATAATGATGTAAATAACCATTGACAAGCATCCTGGTTTAAAAAAGCACAGGATACTTGACAAGTTTGTACCTATTTCTGCATGCCTCTTCCCCACTTTACTTCCTTCTCTTCTGCTGATGTCAAGGATAAACCTACATAGGAACACGAGGCTGGCTGGCTCGTAACACAGTCTTGAAGTCTCAGGTGCATCTTCATCTCTCTTACATGAAACACAGTCTCCTAGAAACAAAGGCAACTGGATTGTGCCAGACACCTCTGAGACATGCTCATCAGACTCATTCCTGTTGTAACGTATGTTTCTTAATTATTCATCAGCAAGACATAAAGTAGTTCATATGAGAAGAGGTCTCATTTGGACGTTAATTTGCCAAGAAAAAAATCAGGAAGACGTCTGAATAAATTATTTTTGTAAGTTTATGTACATAAAATATCTTCTAAAATTTCAGAAAAATGGTGAATAAAATCTTCTTGGGAAAAATAATCCACAGGCTATAACCCTGACTGGAAATAATTTTATCACAGTCCATCTTCTGTGAGCTTGTTTAGCAAAATCTAAAGGGTGAAATTAGACCACATTATGAACTACTTACATACATCATTTGAGACAATGGGAAAGTAATTTGAAGAATTTGGAGCCTGGTGATGAGTTTCCGTTGAAGTTGGGAAGGGGGTGGCAGTAGGAACTGAATTCGAGGTAACTGGGGTTCTCTCCAAGGAGTCCAAATATTGATGAAGCTTCTGTGTTGAATAATTAAAGGTGCTAACCTCAGAGAAAGATGGAGGGACGTTGTCAGGAACCTCTGGACAATTAAAAAGCCTGTGTCCTAGTCTAACAATCCACTATTTAACTCCGTCTTCCTGTTCCCCTCTTTGCTCCTACCTCTGTAATTTGCGGTGTCCCCCAGTGTAGGCACTGAGAAGGACAACTGAAAGCCTGGAGAATGGAAGAAAACCTGCTTAGGGAACTTGACTCTGGCTGCATCCTACACTACAGTTGTAAAACCTCCCCCTTCCTGCCTGAGGTGCCCTTCTGGAGAGCGAGGGTAACAAGGATCCCTCTCCCAAGCACGTTCAGGAAATCAACAAATGTTTGCCCAACTCTTTGAAGTTTATAAGCTCAGCATCTGGGTAAAGTCCAATTAATGCCTCCCTAGGAAGCCCTTCCCTAGGAGAAAAATACAACCCTGGGCCTGGCTTTTCCTTCCCATTCATTCCATTCTGCTATTCGGCTCATGACAACTTTACTCTGGTTAATCACGCCCCGCCTGGAATATTCTCCCAGGATCTACTACCAAGAGATGTCAAAGTCCATTTCCAGTGTTCCACATTTGGCCTGGGTAACCCTTGCTCCAATCTAAAGTGCCTCTTGGCAAAGCTGCGTGGGCCAGGGGACTTCTAATGGAAAGGAGAGGGAGGTGTGCTCATTTCTCATGCCAATCCCCAGAGTACCCCGTTGTCCTAGAGGCATTCTGCAGCCAGGCCAGCAGAGCACCTAGAGTTTGTAACAGAGAATGAAGAGCGTGGCCATGCTGGCCTGGGAAACGAGGTCAAAGGCACGACCTCATCTTAACTAATTACATCTGCAATGACCCTATTTCCAAATAAGGTCACCTTCTGAGGTCCTGGGGGTTAGGACTTTGACATATGAAATTGGAGGGGACACAATTCAACCCATAACAACATCTAAGTAAGTTGGTGATTCCCAAATCCTGGTCCAGGGCTAAGGCAGATGGCAACTGCAACCTCCATGGCAGATAAATCTCTCCCAGATGAAGTCTGGTCCGCTGTGGTCCAGGCCTCACGAGGTGACCCTGGCTCTGGTAGAGAGAGCTTTCTGCCCCCCTTCCCATCCTGCCAGACACCTGGTCTGCCCCTGCCTGCTCTCCCCCAGCCCAGAGAGAGGACAGAAGAAGCAGAGTTGCAGGGAGAATGGCTCTTGTTTTTTGACTTCTCTTGGCCCACTCAGAATTTGGACCCAGCTAAGGTGGGCCAGCAGAACATCTTTCCTGGGTGCTAACCTCTTATATCACAGGATCTCTTCCAATTACTGAAAATGAAATAATACAAAGACAACTGTATTTACCAGGATGAGTGGAATTGTGCAGTCCTCGGAGAGCATGTTCAAATAACAACAGACCATCAGTCTCCCTGATTGTCTTCAGAGGAGAACAGATCGGTAACTAAAGGATTTTGGTAATGCCAAATAGGGTTTTTGAGGTTGGGGCACCATTTAATAGCTCAGATCATCAAAGCCAGACTGAGTTCTCCCACCAGGGTCCTCCTCTGACCTTCCTCTACTCAGTGACAAGCACCCTGGGACTTCCCTCGTGGTCCAGTGGGTAAGACTCTGTGCTCCCAATGCAGGGGGCCCGGGTTCGATCCCTGGTTGGGGAACTAGATCCCGCATGACACGCCACAGCTAAGAAGTCCGCATGCCACAACTAAGACCCAGAGCAGCCTAAATAAATAAATATTTAAAAATAATAATAACGACCACCCCTCAAAAAAGGCTGAGTGTAAGTACTACCAGTGTGAATGTAGTTCCAACTCACGTCATAGCCTCAGGTACCCCAATTACCACCCCACACAGGATATTCCAAGTTCAATGAAATAATACCGGGTATGATGTTTCCATTTGCATGGAAATCATTATGAGAGAATGGATTTTTCGCACTGAATCTGATTTTTAAATGTACTTCCTAGAAGCTGGACATTTGGGCTCCACTTCATATCACAGAACATAAATCTTCAAATCAACAAACTTGCAACAAGAAAACAAGTATCTAATAGGTGACATGATTAACTAAAATTGTACTTAATCGTTCTACATTCAACAATTTTACATCTATCTTTCTAAACACACACATGGGTTTATAGTTATTGACCACAGGTCTTAGGAAAGATGGTCCTGCTTCTTACCCTCTAGGGTTATGTTGTCCTTTCATATGTGAAACGATGATGAGAAGAAATGATAGTTTGTTTTTAATGTCCTTACTTGACAAAAATAAAAATTGGCACTCTTAGTGATCTGTCCCCTCCTCTATACACACGTACACTCACTTATTTTTTTCTTTACTGGGCTCTGATATCCAGACATCTGTAAACACTGGCCAAAATAAATGAAAACAAAAACCCAGAGATGGTTCAAACGATACTCTCTACTGTCAAAAAGACTTCAGTAAGTATGAGGAAGTGAGTAAAATACTAGACCTGATCAAGACA